AAAAAAAAAAAAAAAAAAAAAGCGTCGGAATTTTAATCGTCGACGGCTTTCTTTTTGAGCTCTTCTTTTGCTTTGGCAGCGCTCTCTCATGCACCGAACACTGCCTGTCGCACAGCGTCTGTGGTCGCACAGCTGCGTCGCACAGCTGCGTCGCACAGGCGCGTGGTGCTGTCCTTCGCTGTCGGTTTCAGCGCGCCCTGCGCCTCATGGCGCGTGTTGGCAAGAGTCCCCTTTAATTCCAGCGCTACTTCGGAGCGCTTTAGCGCTTTGAGGCCATTGGCTCTCCCGCACAATCAAACCTCGCGCTCTCGTCCATCATTTCGCTCGGTCGGTCAGCTGCGCTTTGCATCGAAGCCGCATCGCATCGCTTCGCATAGCCCACCATCGATTCCAGCCGTTGCACACCCACCCGCACCTCGCTGTCCCCTCCCCGGCAACCCCCGCTTTCATTGAATCATCACCACCACCATCATTACCACCACACCTAACGTCACCCCTTACACACCTCGCCACTCTTTATCGTCACCACACCCACATTCATTTCGACAGTATATATCATACACTGCTCCATCTCTACCGTGCAAGCTCGCTTCGTCCTATCCAACGCAAAGCCTCTCGAGATACGTCGCTGCCGGCGATGCGCTTCTGCCATTCGCGCTGTGCACGCACCTAGACACAAACCGACGCCTCCATCCACCTATAGATACCGCAACGCTGCGCCATCATGCATCCCTCCATCGCAAACCTCTCGTCGCGCTTGCACCTGTGTGCTGGGGACGTCCCGCCTCCGCTCGTCGGTGCTTCGGCCACGCTGGTAGAGCACGCTCACAATGGCGCCCCGTCCACCGCACACGTCTACCTCTTTGGCGGCCGTCTGGTGAGCAGCCGTCGCATGGTCAACTCGCTCTACCGCCTCGACCTCGACCACATGAAGTGGTCCAAGCTCACGCCCTCCACCAAACCTCTCTCGTCGGACTCGAGCTCCTCGGCTCAAAACCTGCCCGCACACCCGCAGCCACGCTACTTCCACTCGGCCGATCTGTGGAACGACAAGATCATCTTCTTTGGCGGCATGGGCTACTCTCAGCGGCCCAGCCAAGATGCCAACGCCGCCCATGCCGCCGCCACGCCTGCAGACGAGCTCTGCGTGCTCGACGAGCTGCTCGCCTTCGACCTCACCACCCAGCAGTGGGACTACTCCTTTGACGTCGTCTCGCGCCACTTTGACGCACAGCCCTCGCATTCGTCCACCGACTCGCTTCGCCCCGCGCCCCGCTACGCCCACCTCTCGTCGCTCTCGGGCGACACGCTCTCCATCGTCGGCGGCCAGAACCTCGCAAACCAGTACGTCGAGTCCATCAATCTATTTAGCCTCTCGCGCAACCAGTGGTTTGGCGCACAGCGCTTCCGCAAGCAGTGCGGCAGCTACCGTTCCCTCGCCGTCGGCGCAAAGTCGCTCTACAAGAACGGCGAAAAGGCAAAGTGCTATCCGCGCGCAAAGGATCCGCTCGAGGCCGCAGACGCCAACGGCGCGCAGCAACCTTCCGCCTCGCCGTCCACCTCGAGCGCTTCAGCACCACCCAACGCCAACGCTTCGCCCTCCAAGCCTGCCAAGGTAGAGCAGAATCCGCTCCCCATGAGCTATACCCCGGCCGCCGAGGAGCCGCTGCCCGTCTATCTCTACTCGAACTACAACTTTACCGACGTGCGCAGAGAGCTCGAGGTGCTCACGCTTCGAGCCGATGCAGACGCCAGTCCTGCTTCCTCGGATGCCGACAAGGCGCAGCAGCAGCGCTCGCGCAGCGCCTCCAACGCCTCTCAGGACTCGGCGCTCGACGTCGACGGCCCACTCACCCCGTCGCAGGCTTCTGCGCCCGCCTCGTCGGGCCCGTTTGTCTCGATGCAGGACCGCTCCAACCACATGGGCGGCGTCACGCTGCCGCCCGGCTTGCGATTCCCTACGGGTGCGCTTCTGGGTCCTTACCTGCTCATCTCGGGCACCTATCTCGCCAACGCCACGCAGAGCTTCTCCATCTGGGCGCTGCACCTGCCCACCATGGTGTGGTCGCGAATCGAGTCGGGCTCGGCGCTCTCAACGGGCAGCTGGAATCGGGCTCTGCTTTGGCCCGCCAAGAATCGCCTCGTCGTCGTGGGTCACAAGGAGCGCGACCTGGTGAGCGACTACAACCACCGTCAGACCAACTGGGACCATGTGGTGGTGCTCGAGCTCGAGGCTTGGGGCATCTACCAGCCGCCCGCCTCGCCGCTCTCGGAAGCGGCGGTGCAGCTGGGCCTGGACAAGCTCGCTGCATCGGCGCCCTCGGCAATGGCATCCGCACACGCGCTGGCGCGAGGCAGCGGTGCGCTCGGCAGGCCGAATGCAAACGATGCCACGTCTCCCACCGCGCCCGATGCTGGTGCTGCGACGCCGGAAAACGGCGGTGATCACGCTGTCGAGCACGAGCTCGAGGCGCTCAGCCTGGGAGGGCGCGGCGACTTTGAGATTGTCTGCTCGGACGGCCTGCGCATCGGATGCGACCGCGCGCTGCTCGAGGCGCGCTGGCCCTGGTTCCGCACCAAGATGGACGAGTTCCGCCGCAAGGCGCGACGCACGCTGCGCATCGCCTACCCGGCCACCAACGATCAATTTGGACTGGGCATCATCCCGGAAGACATTGCCGACTTTCTCGCCGAGGAAGACGATGAGGAGGACGAGCCGATCGACCCGCTCGTCGCGCCGTCCGGCAGCAAGGACGCCGCCAAGCACCGCATCAAGGATCCTCGCTTCCAGCCGCGCCATCTGCAGATCTCGGAACCGTCGCCGGTGGTGCTGGCGCTGCTGCAGTACATCTATACGCTGCGCATCGGCACGGCGCTTCAGAGGCATCCGGCGGTGGTGTGCGCGCTCATGGTGCTGGCGAGGACCTACGGCATGGAGGAGCTGGCGGTGTGGTCGCGCCATGCTGCTCATGTTGCGCTTGCCGACGATCTGAACCCCAAGACGTCGGGGTCGGCGCGCGGTGCGGACGCGCTCTCGCCGTCGTCGTCCATGACGCATGCCATGGACGCAGGCGAGAGCGGCGGACTGGAGCTCTTCCGGCCGGCGGAGTCGCTGGGGTTGCATCCCGAGGAGCGACATCGGCTGGCGGTGTGCCTGTACGAGGCGGCGTCGCTGTGCGGTTGCGAGGGGCTGCAGATCCGCGCGCTGCGCGTCGTCATGGCTATCGCGCGCTGGCTGCAGAAGCACGGTGCGGGTCCCAACGGCGGAGGTGGCGGAGCGGGAGTGGAGAAGCAGCAGGGTCGCGGCGATGGCGCGTCGCGCGATCGATCCGGCTCTTCGTCGCATCACGCCAGCGGTAGCAACGGCGCTGGTGCCGTCCAGCTGTCGTCGGGAACATTGCGCGGAGGCAGCTCCAACTACCGCAACGCCATGGGAGGCAGTCTGGGTGCGGGCGCATCGCCCATGCTGCAGATGCCGTCGCCCGTGCCGTCGATGTCCATGTCGCGCGCTGGCTCGGACACGGCGAGCTCGCACGGCCCTCTGACGCCTAACTCGGTCTACCAGAGCTTCCTGGATCGACGCGGCGATTCGTTCTCGTCGTCGACGGATGCGGCGCCCACGCACGGCAGCGCGCTCGCCTACCTCAACGAGGTGGAGTCGCTCGATGACCACGAGGGGCCAGACTATCGCAAGCTCAGCTCGGCGCAGGACTTTAGCAGCAGCAGGCTGGACAAGATCGCCGAGGCCTCGACGCGGG